ATTAAACTCCTTACATCTTCGCTGGAATCATTTGGATAATTTCAACGGGAATTGCCCATCTCTACTAAATAAAAGGTAAAAGGCAGCTGTTAACTCGAAACTGCAATTTCATGGCATCACAAGTTGAAACAGAGCATTTTGAGCTTTGTCCATGTAATCAGACTAATAATAAATTGTTACCCAAATGAAGCAAAACACAACTGCAGGCATGCTTTTGAGGAGGTAACAGCATTTTAACGTGACTTAAAGCTCACAAGAGTCAATTTTGCGTAATGTAGGACCTTTATGTACAATAACTTTTAGTAACATGATCTACAGTGACATTACAAATATTAATCATAACTTTTCATTACTGTTCAGCTGTCATACTGAGCTCTTCACATTTTGTTCTAGGACTACACAAATGTATTGTGACATATGTAGTTCAGAGCAGTGATGTTGCAATATGTTACTCACTGCACCCCAATGTTGGACACTTTACACCAAAACAATACGTCTTCTTGTCGCAACAACTGTTTTCTCATTTTACATTGTGTTGTGCAAGAGTTGTGTGTTTTTACAGTTCATGGCTCACATAACAAGGTAAATGTCCTCTAAACGGACAAAAAGCAAAGTATTTCTTTATATAAGTGTGCCAAAACATGGGTAAATGGTGGGACTGTTTATGCACACAGCTCCCAGTGTTATCAGTTGTTCAAACAGAGCAGTGCTACACAGTGTACCTGCTGCTGCTCACACATCTGCAGCCAGGCCCCACCCCCTCCGCATTAGAATATATCCTGTTCAGGTCTGTTGGTACCATGGAGAGGGCTGCTCAAAACACAAGTGACATCTAGTGGCAAAAGACAGAATTGCTCCTAGTGGTCAACGAGATGGAGATTTCCATTTAGTAATACAATTTTCCAATTTATACTTTTCTTTGACCCACTGCTTGGAAAATGTGTTTAGAAATGTCAAGAGATGATGTTCTAAATCCAAAAATCTGTTTGTATTTCCACTAGATTTTGCATTTTTAAAGGTCCACTATGCAACTTTTCTGGTGGATGGTGCGCTACCAGTTTTTCTACACAAAAGTGTTATTGCATTGCCAACTGATCCAGAACATGACAGGTTACTCGTCAGATTACAGGTCAGATCTGTGAAGAGTCGATTGATGAACATGATTTTTTGTTGTTCTTGTTCTTGTTGTTCTTGCTGTTGTTCTTGTTCTTCTAGTTGTTCTTGTTCTTCTTGTTCTAGTTGTTCTAGTTCTTCTTGTTGTTCTAGTTCTTCTTGTTCTAGTTGTTCTAGTTGTTCTTCTTGTTCTAGTTGTTCTAGTTCTTCTTGTTCTAGTTGTTCTTGTTCTTCTTGTTGTTCTAGTTGTTCTAGTTCTTCTTGTTGTTCTAGTTGTTCTAGTTCTTCTTGTTCTAGTTGTTCTAGTTCTTCTTGTTCTAGTTGGTTCTAGTTCTTCTTGTTCTAGTTGTTCTAGTTCTTCTTGTTCTAGTTGTTCTTGTTCTTCTTGTTGTTCTAGTTCTTCTTGTTGTTCTAGTTGTTCTAGTTCTTCTTGTTCTAGTTGTTCTAGTTCTTCTTGTTCTAGTTGTTCTAGTTCTTCTTGTTCTAGTTGTTCTTGTTCTTCTTGTTCTAGTTGTTCTAGTTCTTCTTGTTCTAGTTGTTCTTGTTCTTCTTGTTCTAGTTGTTCTAGTTCTTCTTGTTGTTCTAGTTGTTCTAGTTCTTCTTGTTGTTCTAGTTGTTAACAGCCTTAATGAAATTAATGTAATATTGCAATCCTCCATTTGTTTGTATGTTAGATTTACTTTTTCCGACACCCACAAAAAGACATACTAAGTTTACTGTTTACTTCATAGTAAAACGTTGTCTTGAATAGTTCCATATTGTTTTACTTTATTCATTTTTTTTTCTCTTTTTTGCAGCCACAGATCAAAAGACAGTACATCAAATTCGATACATGCAAATGAGATACATACAACTCTACTCTCTGCAAACAACGGAAAACTTTCTCAATCTCAATCTATTCAAATGCACATTTAATCTTTCATTTTTTCTGCACAAACAAAGCCACAGCAGTGACCCGTGGCTAAATATGAAACTAAGTTCAGATCAGTCAGAGTGATAGCAGTGACTTGCATCAAGATATAGATTCAAGATAAAACCCCTACGTTCCACACTTGGCAAATACTTCCTGTGTTTTGTCCACTCTAAATAAATGGTCTTCTCTCTCTTCTCTAAGGATCTCTTGTCAGCAAGACTCACTGATACTGAATTGGTACAGACATGATTCTGGCAAATAAGGCTAAGATGACTGGTTTTCTGGGTTGTAATATGTTTGCATCTATAGCAATGCCATTCTCTCTGTTACAATTGACCAAAAACTAAATCATATGGTGTCATAGTAGTTATCATAAATGAGCTTAAAGAGGAGGTATTACACTTTATCTTTGCTTATACTGAAGATGCAATTTTCAGAAGAAAAAACCCCAAAACAAAACAAAACAAAAACTGAAAAACTACAGTCACATTTTTTATATATTTTTGTTTCTCTGACACCAAGCTCCCCACTTCCATTGCTGCCTGTGCCAAGTCACTCCTCCACTGCTATCACATTATAATCAGTCTGCATTTTGCTAATGGAACTGCATTTTGCACATCGCATCAGGTTTGTGAAGTTGTAGTGTATTGGTTTGTATCATGCTTTTGTATATTTATGTAAAATGTCCATGAGCTAATGTTAGGATAAAAAACTAGGCTTAGGTGGTGTACAACTACTGCTATGATATTATTGATGTACTGCTATATTTTATTATTGTACTATTAGAATTCGCTATACAATGACCCAGAAAACAGGGACTAGATTACAGATGAGGGATGCAGTTCATGTAAAAGATATTCTATTTCTATCTAGATGTCTAATCAATTAACTAAATAGGGCAAGGACTTATTGATAGAGCTATGCTGACTCACGACTCATCACCCTGGTTCACCAACAAGACGCTGCCGTGAGGGGAGTGAGATGAATCCGGGGGATCCTTGTCAGAATTGGATAAGATTGTGCAACGTACCAAGAGGCCTGGCTGGCCTGTGCACCAACAAAGAGGCACTAAGTCTAAACCATGGTCACCTCCCACTATAGTTTGCGTATAAAAAGCATTGTATAGGTGTAAATATTCAGTCTCTGCATGGGAATGTCAGCACAGACTCCTTGTACAAGTATGAATAATTTAATTATCTGGACTTTATTTCAGTTTCAAGTGTAATTTTGTCTAAGCAGAAACTAACGAACAAGCGAGGAAAAGGGTTATTTTCCTCAACAATTAGGTGACCCTGACATGATTTCTGCTAGGCCATTGGCATCGGACCACAATGTGGCCCGGAATTAGGGTTTGCCACCTGAGCCCTCGGTTCTCTCCAAGGCTGGACCCTTCTCCACACTCACTGGACCCGAAATAAGAGGTAAGCAGAAACCTTACAAGTATTGCCCGTTACTGCTTTGATCGAATAAATTATTTTCTGAAGTATATCTTGGTTTCAAGGGTATTTTTTGTCTCAGCAGAAACTAACGAACATGCAAGGAAAAGGGTTATTTTCCTCAACACTAAGTCTTGGAGCCGAAGGACCGAATAGTGCTGAGAGATATCAGGACATGCAGGGGATGACATATAGAACCTTTTCAGGCATGTTTTTGGTGAGGATAGAAATTTAGAAGAAATCTCCAAAATGTCGATCTTAAAATCTTCTGCGTCCGTCCCCTCATGTCCCACATCATTCAACAACTTGTCTCTCTTTTCCTACAATTTGAAGTCACCCTATTCACTACACTAAAATGTGGCTTATTTACTCTTAAACTTAGTTTGAACGATTAAAGACAACATGAATCATCAAAAGCCGGAAACACAACATATATGTAAAATGTCCTGTGAGGAGTGCCTGCTGTGTAGGTAAATGCAAATGATTTAGGAGAGAGTCCTATTTGCATACAGTGGGTCAGTGACATTATAAACAAATGAACAAACAAAACCAAAATGGTGGTAAAATGCAAATGCCGCAAAAATGAAACTTGAAACTTCAGATTACTCTGACCAATAGTTTACACAATCGCTTAATATTTGCATCAGGATTAACTAAAAGCTTTTATTTCCATAAAGAAACTGTTATAAATGCCAGATACTCAAACCGTTTGATTTTCACTTAAAGGGCTCACACTGGGCTATTTTCTGATCTATGTTATAATGTGTTTTCCTCATCACAAACATACCTGAAGTTGTGTTTCATTGTTTGTTTCATTCACACATTTAACCCACAAACCCTGCATATTTAGGGTGAGTTCTTCGTTCAAGCAGAAAACACTCTGTTCCATTTTGTGAAGTCATGTGGCAATACAGGAAGTGCTCCACTCCATACACTTTAACTAGAGTCATTTGTACAGTTTCACTCCTGTAACTGAAAAAAAAAAATTTATATAAAAAGTAGCTGTTAACTTGAAAACTACCACTACATAACATCACAAGGTGGAGCAGAGCATTATGAGCTTTGGCGATGAGTTACTTAAATGTGTTAATGAAACAAAGCACAACTCCATGTATGTTTTAGATGAGGCAACAGCATTACAACACTAGAGTCAATTTTGTGTAATATAGGACATTTAAGAAAACATCCAGAAACTTTTTGTGAAGATTAAAAATGTTCCAAAGAGCAAAGCATCATTTGTGCTACCAATTCAAAGTATTCCCACAGAGAAAACCATATATAAACAAATACATTTCCCAGAAAAAGTCATATATCTGCGGTGCAACATTACAAAATTATGATAAGCAGCACACTGCCACACATTAACCACATGTATTTGCCATGTTAGGTCAGTACCATTGCTCCACTTGATGTGAGTTAAAGCTTTCTTTCATCTTTACATACTTTCATTCAGCCATGGAAGTTTTGCATAATTTCACAATATTTCTTAGTCCTGTCCCAAGAGTTGAAGTCACATTCCACACACTATGTCTATAACTATGGTGTCTACTTTCAGACTGCTTGTACTGGCTTTAGTGCTTGGGAGAAGTACGTCAAATGAGTGGTTTAAAAATATCTCTACCAGCTTGTTTACCTTGCCAGGAGATATTTTGATCGGGGGGCTTTTTCCAATCAATCAGCTCACGAGTAACCTAAGTGAACAAAACAAGCCGGGTGATGTTCAATGTGCAAGGTAAGCGTTGCAAAATGTCTTTTTAATATAGTTTGCATAAACTGTATTGCACATAGTTCAGTTTAGTATACCAAGTATATGAAACGAAACTAAATATAGCCTGCTCCGCCATACATTTTAATACCTTGTTAAAACTGAGTTGCCTTAACTTACATATAGAGGAGGTGTGCCTAACGTGGGGCCCACGGGCCAAACATGCCCCTCCAAGAGTTGCTGATATTTGTAAGAAAAATCTATTTTCCACAAAAAAAGAGTGCAAAGAAATTAGCTCTTAGTGCACTAATATGGATTGATTTTGGCTCACCAAGGAAAAGGTTTGGATACCCCCCGATATAGTGGGAGCACGTTTTGTTTTTGGGTTTTTTTTTGTTAGATCGATATAAAGATATATTTGATTTGAACCTGCCTATATCTGGAGGTCTTGTTTATTACATACAGTACATACTTACATACAATTCCTTTGTTGTTTCTTACAGAGTAGATACATATGGACTGGGTCTTTCCATAGTGATGAAGTATGCAGTGGATGAAGTGAATGCCAATCCAAAGCTTTTACCTGGGATTAAGCTGGGTTATAAAATATATGATACTTGTAAACAGACTTCAGTGATTGTCAGACCCACCATCTCCTTCCTGACTAAGAAATCCACGAACATTTTTTCTGTGCAGTGCAACTACACAGACTATGAGACTACTATGGTGGCAGTTATTGGTCCAAATGGTTCAGAAATGGTTTCAGTCATAGGAAAACTACTGGGATTCTTTCTCATGCCACAGGTATGTGTACAAAGTCATTTCTTCCAGTGTTTCAGATCATTTCTCAACCAAATACATGATGAGCATATTAATAAAAGTTTAGCTGTCATTGGAAGTTTCAAATTATTATCAAAACACTTGATATAAGTCATGGTGACAAGAACAAACATTTTTCACATACAATACATACTCTCAGAGTTCTGAAGTTGTGAATGCCAAAAGTTACCGGGTAGATACTACAAACACCTTTGTTAAAGTAGTCAAAATATTAATTATAAAAAAGGAGTACATCTCCTCAACTAAGAGAAAAGAAGCTGCAAAAAAAAAAAATCTTATGACTTTGTTATGATTCACTACACAGGTCCTCCATTTGAAAGCTAAGCAGGGTCACTTTGTGCCAAAAAATAAAAGGTTATTACTTTTTATAGTCCCTTTTTCCAAACTGCAGATCAGTTACAGAGCCACAAGTGACCAGTTCAGTGACAAGACGCTGTATCCGTCATTCTTCCGCACGGTGCCCAGTGACAAGTGGCAGGTGGAGGTGATGGTGCTGCTGATCCAGGAGTTTGGGTGGAATTGGGTGGCAGTGATCGGGAGTGAGGAGGCATATGGCCAGATGGGGGTGCAAGAGTTTTCTAAAATGGCAGAGAAGAGCTCCCTGTGTTTAGCCTACCAGGCCCTGATCCCGGTCTACACTGACCCAGGACCAACCATAGAAATCATCATCAGCAACATTAAAGCCTCCAAAGTCAGCGTCATTGTGGTCTTCTCTCTACCAGAGCCAGCAGCTGCATTCTTCAGAGAAGTACATGGTTAAGTTAGAGAAACTAGGTTTAAAAATACTGGTACATTTTAAGACTATGTGTTTTCAATGCAGGTCATAAAGCACAAAATCACTGGTGTGTGGATTGGCAGCACGAGTTGGGCAAACAACAACAGAGTGACTGACATCCCTGGGATCCAGTCTATTGGGACAGTGATTGGATTCACAGACAAGACCCAGAGTGTGGACCTGGTCACAGAATACACACAGGCACTTCTCACTAAAATCAGTGAAGAGAACAGAAACGTGACAAGAACAGATAACCACACTGATCCCACTAACCCATGTCCACAGTGTTGGAACCTGTCTCTTGCCAACATCAGCATTGTCCAGCATTCAGCAGTGCAGCAGGCAGCTTTCAGTGTCTATGCTGCCATCTACAGTGTGGTACAAGCACTGCACAAACTTCTTCACTGTAATGACACAGAATGTGTTTGGAAACCTGAGACTAAGGTCTATCCATGGAAGGTGTGCTTACATTATAGATGGCACTATTTTCTTGTCATGCAATAAAAATAAAATGTCTTTTTTGCAGCTCTTGCCAGTTTTGAAAAATATTTCTTTTGACATAAATGGCACCAAGTTTGAATATGACAGCAATGGAAATCCAAACATCGGATACAATGTGATGCAGTGGGTTTGGAACAACTCCAATCTACATTTTCGAAATGTTGGAACTTTTCTGAAAACATTGTCACTAAACAAATCTCTTTTTACGTGGCACACAGAGGGCTCAATGGTAAGATGCACAACTAAACAACAAAGACCACCACAAACACTCATGCAAACACTACATTCATATTAGGCAATGTGGGTGAAGTGTCTCAACAACATAGCACTGTCAATGTCACCCCACTGCAGCACCTGGTATTCTCAGTCGTCTCCCACCCAAGCCCTCATAAGGCCTCACAACATTATAACATATATCAGAAAATATTGTGATATGGGCCCTTTAAATATATTAAAAGTGTAATTACCAAAATGTCACCAAATAATCTTAATCTTAATGTGAACAGAATTGTTTAAGACATCTGGAGTTATTGTAATAGTCTGATAGTTTCAAGTCCAGCTCTTGGTATTTGTGTACATACAGGTGCCAGTGTCGACATGCTCTGCAGCCTGTGAGTCTGGACAAGTGCGCCGGGTCAAAGGGTTCCACTCCTGCTGCTTCGACTGCATTGATTGTCTGCCCGGGACCTACCAGGCCAGCCGCGGTGATCACTTTATTATATAATGTACTCTTCTGTTCCTTCTTTCTCTTCTGGACAGTAATCATTGTAATGTCAACATTTAATTTGTTAAGATGATAACCAGTGCACCAAATGCCCGAGGGGCGAGTGGTCCATCCTCCGCAGCACGTCCTGCACTGAGCCCACCTTCGAGGTGTTGTCGTGGGACAGGCCAGAGTCTGTGCTGATGGTGTTGGCTGGAGTTCTGCTGCTGCTGTCCCAGGGCTCAGTGCTGCTCCTGTTCCTCAAACACAGAAGCACCCCGCTGGTGCTGGCCTCAGGAGGACCCCTGGCCTGTGTGGCACTCCTCAGCCTGATGGGGGCATGCTTGAGCCTGGTGCTGTTCCTCGGACAGCCCACAGACACAGTGTGTCTTCTGCAGGTGCCCCTCACCTCCATTTGGCAAACAGTGGCTCTGTCCATCATCACCTCCATCTCTCTACAGGTGACACACTCCACATTACCAGCTTTACTATGTAACACTCACTTTGAACCACACCACCTCATTATTAACCTAGAATAGTAAACTCAAACCCATTCCCCCAGATCTTCTTTGTGTCGGAGTTCCCTGAGCGGGCGGCCCCTCACCTGCACACTATCCGGGGTCCAGGCAGCTGGCTCCTGGTGTTGTCCTGCTGTGTGGCTCAGGCTGGCATCTGTGCCTGGTTTGTGCAGGAGGGCTCCTCTCTCTCAACCTACATGAAGAACATGGAGATAAACTTTGTGAGTTCGTTCCTGACATGCCCAGTGGAGCCTCTGATAGGCTTCGCTCTGTTACAGGGCTTTAACGTGGTTCTGGCACTGGTCTCCTTCATGTGCACCTTCATGGCTGTGAAGCCTCTGCACCAGTATAATCTGTCCCGAGACATCACCTTCTCCTGCCTCATCTACTGTGTCCTCTGGGTCACCTTCATCCCCATTTACATTGGATTGAAGGACCAGATGAAGTCCATAGTTCACGTCTCTTTTTCTCTCGCCAGTAACTTTGGGCTCATGGCATCTTATTTTTTCCCCAAGTGCTATCTGATGGTGAGAAAACCTGGCCTTAATACAGCAGAGCATTTCTGCACCATTCTGGAGGGAGTGCCCCCAACTCCTCCTCAGGACGAGCCACAGCCCAAAACTGAGACTGAATCTGTGCAGTAACTTGTTTAGCTACATACAATAGAGCAATTGCTAGTTTAGATTGAGTGGCACTGTAAAATGGTGAACATGCTTTGGTAGGTGCTGTAGCACAATATTCATTTCATGAAATATTGTTTGTCCATCATCAGTCTTTGTACTCTACTCATCTAATTAATGAGTGTCTAATGAACACATATTTTGTGTTCAGCTCAAGAGAAACTACTATGAGCAAGAAATCTGTAAATGCATGTTAGAGTATATTGTTGAGTACCCAAATCATTGTGTGAGAGGTTTTAGCCTGCCTCTTATGTGACGGCTAGCATCCCTGAGAATTTGCACGGGCCACAGGCAGTAATCATCTTATGTAAACAACAATATTAACAATGTAATAAAAATGCATGTATTTGTTTAGGATTCTGCGTTGAATATAAAATTACTCATTTCAAACCAATATTCAAAATCATTACACATTTGTAATAATCATTATGTAACCCACATGCAGTGCACAAGTAGTTTAGTATCCTTATTGTGTGTTACCTCTCATACATCAACAGCATCCATGTTTTAACTAATACATTGCACATTTTCTGTTTGTTACTTATTGAAAATGATGGGCAATATACGTTCTCTGTTAACATTACATAGTTTTGTCATATTTTCCTCTTAATGTTGAATTTATGAAGTTCAAAAAAAAAGTTGTCATACTGAGGCTTTATTTGCTGGTCTCTGGGGATAGGTTATTTCTTTGTCTCAGCCACAGTATGGCATTAAAATTATATATCTATTCAATTACAGGTGTTCTTATTTTTTAAATAAACTTGAAAACATGTATTCTATTGTGAGCGGAGTCTCAGATCTGACATGCAATTTGACCTGAGTAGAGTCCACTGATCTCCATGGAAAAAGACAAGTTGAGTATTATACTGTGGAACATTCTAGGCAAAGCAATAACAATAGCAACTTTATAAGGGAAAGGAAGTCAGCTACTGCATATTACTACTTTTCTGGAAAGAAAAATTTGCATTGTTTCCAAAGTATGCCAAACCAGCATAGCCGTTTCAATGTGTTCATCTTTTGTCCCCATGGTTTACGCAAATAGCAACCAACAAACAAATGACAGTAAAATGCTCCGGAAAGATGAATACCACAAACTCCATTACACCTCTCACAAACCACTTTTGTTTTTTTAAATTTGTCACATTTACTACTAGCGTAGATCTACTGCATGTAGTACTTTACCTGCATTAAACAGTTCTTATCATTTGAGGCCAGACAATGTAAAAAGCCAAGTTTAAGTGGAGATGCATTTAGTGAGATACATATCATTACTGTACTGTATAGTAGTTTCCATCAAAAACTTTAAATATTAAACAGCATACATGGTAAGAAATTATCAGGTAATGACAAATGGTTGGGCTCCCCAGAAAATGGTGGTGAAACTGTATAGCTATACTTATGTTGGTATTTTTATTTCAAATACATTCTACTGTCATAATGTAGTTACTTTCTATGCTTAACTTTTTAAAACCCACACAAAGAAAATGAAAATAAAATTGTTCATAGGTTTACTTTGTTTTTTCAGTATTAGTTAGTTGTTGAGTTATTTGACAAAAAGTCTTTAATAATTTGTCTCATTAAAAGAGTACAGGATGGAATGGTCAGTGCAGGTAATTGCATGGTACATTTGACAAGAGATAGCGGACTTATACCATTGGGGAAGAGAAAGGAGGGGCCTAACACACCAAATCGTTTGCTGCATGGCATGAATTTGCATAACATGCCAGTATATTTTTGTTCTATCAATACCGTCCTTTGAGTCTCCGTGGGTCAACAATGGCTTCAACGTCTTTCAGGCTTCTTATCTTTTGTTGTGTAGTGAACCTGGGTTATGGTTTAAGTTCAAATGAATGGTTTAAAGATGTCCCCACTGATCTGTTTAATTTGTCTGGAGATGTAATCCTTGGAGGACTATTTCCTACTAGACTGTTGACCAGCAACCTAAGTGAAAGGACCAAGCCAGATGAACTCACATGTGGAAGGTAAAAGCTATAAATACTTCTTACACTTGAAGACACTTAACAATATGGAGCTTTAATTCACTTCTCAGAAGTAACAATCTCACAGTATAAATGTAGTATTTTGGAATGGTAAAACATGCATCTAGACCTTTTGCAGTTCAATTCTGTACTTTGTACATTTGTGTGTAATCTGCTTATTTATTTGTGTTGTTCCAGTTTGGATCAGACGGCACTTGGCCTTTCCCTAGTGATGAAGTATGCCATAGATGAAGTCAATGCCAACCCAGTCCTTCTTCCTGGAGTTAGATTAGGTTATAGGATCTACAACACATGTAGACAGCCATCAGTCATCGTCCAGCCCACACTGTCCTTTCTGGCAAACAGATCAACAGAGGAGTTATCTGTGGAGTGTAACTACACAGACTATGACCCCAGCATCTCTGCAGTCATCGGCCCCTATAGTTCAGAGATGGTCTCTGTCATTGGAAAACTACTGGGATTCTTTCTTATGCCACAGGTGTGTCCAATAACAAAAATACAGATTCACTGTATTGCTGCAGTCAGAAAAAACAGAGGTTATAAATTCAATTTTTAAAAGTCAATATGGTTTGAGCAAAGTAATCGATTAAGAACCACCCAATAAAAATTATATTATATCTATATAGCATTTAAAAGGTGAATGGCAGTAGGAATAAAAGATAATACCTACTTGTATTTGAATAGGTGGACAACATAAGGCAATAAGGAAAGCTCTCAGAGTCATATTTTAAAGAGTGAGTTAACAATCACCTCTTTGTAAAATGTGTACAAAAGGAAGCCAAGTCTCTCTTCTGCACTCCTGTGATTTTAGAACAGATAACAATACAATTTAACAATACAATTTAAAAATAGAATTTAACAATAGAATTAAGACTGTTCTTATCTTTGACAGAGAGGTTGTTAAATTTAAAAAATAAATAAAAGAAAAACACAACAGGCCCTCAATAAAGCACTGACAAATGCAACATAAAATGAGAGAATTAACAGAAAAAGAGTTAAACTTTCTAAAAAGGTGCAGTCCCTGCTGGTCATGTTTAACAACAGATGCCGTGTTCACATAAAATTTAAGTTGGTTGTCAAAAAAATGTGCCTTCTCCAAATGCTTGTACAAAGAATCTAAAATAAACAGCTTTGCATCTACTCTCTTCCCTGAGTGATGAGCAAAGTGCAGCGGCTCAATCTTTTCACTTACATGCTGAAGGACAACACTTTTCACAAATTTTCAAACAATTTCATACACAAAGAGGTGAGTCCAACAGGGTGGAAATCATTGAGCCTTTTTGGCACATTCGTTTGGTTAACAGGGAGGACAGCAGAGGTTTTTCATAATAAGGGAACTTGATTACAGTCAAGAGACAATTGAAATATATAATGAAAAACAACACTAAGTTGGTCAGCACAAACTCTTAAGGTTTGCCCACAAATTTGGTGAAGACCAGGGGCCCTCCTAATGTTAACCCTCCAGATGAGGTATCTGACACACTCCTGACTAACCACAATACTGGAGTCAGGGGACATGTTCTCTTTCAAGAAGGACAATTTGTCAAAATCAGAAAAAACACTTCTTTCAAAACAGCAAAAGAAATCATTAAAGATATAAGATCTGACTCTTCAATTCCCTCAATCTCAACAAGATTTCTATTAGTACCATTTTGTACTAGGGAGATTGAGAACATGGATTTGATGCCCTTCCATGCAGCGTTCAGGTCTCCACTGTACTGATGCTGGACTGATGCTCAGTTTGGTTCTTGTAGGCCTTTCTTGCACTTCTTACCCTTCATTGTTCATCATATTTAAACATCTTTCCTGTTTCTAACACTGTTCACTTCCTGTTTTTGCATTGAAAGTGCAAAAATGTTTTGTCTTAACAAAAGATTATTCCTAATACCAGAAATACTAAAATAACCAAGTAAATTTTTCCCGTAGGTCAGTTATGGAGCCACAAGTGACCAGTTCAGTGACAAAACAACGTATCCGTCGTTCTTCCGCACGGTACCCAGTGATAAGTGGCAAGTGGAGGCAATGGTGCAGCTGATCCAGGAGTTTCACTGGAATTGGGTGGCAGTGATTGGCAGTGAGGAGGCGTACGGCCAGACGGGGGTGGAGGAGTTCTCTAAAATGGCAGAGAAGAGCTCCCTGTGTGTAGCCTATCAGGCCCTGATTCCAGTCTACACTGACCCAGGACCAACCATAGATAACATCATCAGCCACATTAAAGCTTCCAATGTCAGTGTCATCGTGGTTTTCGCTTTGTCAGAATCAGCGGCTGCTTTTTTTAAGCAGGTGAGGACAAATCAATGTTTTGGGTCTGCCTCTTTATCTACTCATCTACCTCACATTGTCTATTGCTCCAGTTCTTCTTTTATCATTCTGCATAACTTGGTTTTGGTCAATCCACTAATAAAATTTCTAAGAAAGTTTGTAGAAGTCAAATATTAATAAGGGGGACATATGCAGGAGCCCCAGGCAATCAGCTTCCATCGCTGTTGTTATTCTCTGGGTCATCATTCTCAACTTTCTTATATTTTTTACAAAGAAAAACAGCTTGTATAGAGTCAGCAAATGCAGGATCCATGCAATGCTCAGGGAATAATGCTCACAGGAATATCTCAACAATGATCTTTTGTAGATGGACGGAGAACCTTGTAACTTCATAAACAAATCAGTCTTGCATATATTCACAACTCACAAAAAAGTGTTTTTATTGCCAAAATATCTTTTAAAACAGGCACAACCAATATGGCCGCCAGTGGTGCGTCACATCTCTGGCATAAACCGGCAAAAAAAAATAATATATTCATTTGTCCATCGCAGGTCATAAAGCAAAATTTGACTGGTGTGTGGATCGGTAGCACGGCTTGGGCTAATAGCAGGAAACTCACTTCTATCCCTGAAATGAGAAACATCGGTACACTCATTGGATTCACAGACAAGACTCAGGATGTGAACTTTCTCCCTGAATATGCACACGCACTTTTTACCAAAATAAGTGAAGAAAGAATTAAACCACCAACAAACAACAACTACAACCCAAGTGAGCCCTGTCCCCAATGCTGGAACCTCACTCTTGCAAACGTAAGCATCCTGGAGGATCCTACAGTTCAAAGACAGGCTTTCAGTGTCTATACAGCTGTCTACAGTGTGGTAGAGGCACTACATCAACTTCTTCACTGTAATAAGACTCAGTGTGATTGGAAACCGGGCACAACAAAGGTCTATCCCTGGAAGGTATTTTTTGAATGAAAGTATATATATAGATTTTTCTTGTATGTGTGAAAAGGGATATTTGCCAACAGTTTACTTTTGCTGTATACCCAGTTCCCACTTCATAAATGCTGAAGTGTCAATTAAATGTTTAAATACAGACTTAGAAAATACTTCATTGATAGAGAACAATAGGTTTAGATTATTTATCAATTTAAGATGTAGAGAAAAAAACTGCACCATAAACATAGCTATTGTGACCTTGGGAATACAGTTGGCAAAGATCTCCACTCCTTTCACATTGCTTCACATTTTGGAAGTATTTTACTAATTATTTATGTTGTTGCAGCTGTTGCAGGTGTTAAAGAATATTTCCATTGATGTAAGCGGCACAAAGTTTCAATTTGACAGTAATGGGAATCCAAACATTGGATACAATGTGATACAGTGGGTTTGGAACGATTCAAATGTACAGTTTCGAAATGCTGGAACTTTTCGGAAAACTTTGTCCATTAACAAACTTCTCATCACTTGGCACACCAAGGATTCAATGGTAACTTTCATCCACCTCCTCAGGGTTTTTGGAACTCTTGTGGCAAAAGTGTGTTGTAATGGATGCAGTTGAGTTCAGCTCTTGGTATTTGTATATAAACAGGTGCCAGTGTCGACATGCTCTGCAGCCTGTGAGTCTGGACAAGTGCGGCGAGTCAAAGGGTTCCACTCCTGCTGCTTCGACTGCATTGATTGTCTGCCCGGGACCTACCAGGCCAGCCGCGGTGACCACTCATATCAGAACACATAATGTATAATGTATATGCAGGCTCGGACTGGCAATCTGTACTACCGGGGTGCTGCCAGGCTGCTGAATTTTGTTCCCAGGGCGACTGTGTATATGGGAGTATGATTTGTTGAGAGAGCTTACTCACTTCTATACATGTTTTCAGATGACATCCAGTGCACCAAATGTCCGAGGGGCGAGTGGTCCATCCTCCGCAGCACGTCCTGCACTGAGCCCACCTTCGAGGTGTTGTCGTGGGACAGGCCAGAGTCTGTGCTGATGGTGTTGGCTGGAGTTCTGCTGCTGCTGTCCCAGAGCTCAGTGCTGCTCCTGTTCCTCAAACACAGAAGCACCCCGCTGGTGCTGGCCTCAGGAGGACCCCTGGCCTGTGTGGCACTCCTCAGCCTGATGGGGGCATGCTTGAGCCTGGTGCTGTTCCTCGGACAGCCCACAGACACAGTGTGTCTTCTGCAGGTGCCCCTCACCTCCATTTGGCAAACAGTGGCTCTGTCCATCATCACCTCCATCTCTCTACAGGTGACACACTCCACATTACCAGCTTTACTATGTAACACTCACTTTGAACCACACCACCTCATTATTAACCTAGAATAGTAAATTCAAACCCATTCCCCCAGATCTTCTTTGTGTCGGAGTTCCCTGAGCGGGCGGCCCCTCACCTGCACACTATCCGGGGTCCAGGCAGCTGGCTCCTGGTGTTGTCCTGCTGTGTGGCTCAGGCTGGCATCTGTGCCTGGTTTGTGCAGGAGGGCTCCTCTCTCTCAACCTACATGAAGAACATGGAGATAAACTTTGTGAGTTCGTTCCTGACATGCCCAGTGGAGCCTCTGATAGGCTTCGCTCTGTTACAGGGCTTTAACGTGGTTCTGGCACTGGTCTCCTTCATGTGCACCTTCATGGCTATGAAGCCTCTGCACCAGTATAATCTGTCCCGAGACATCACCTTCTCCTGCCTCATCTACTGTGTCCTCTGGGTCACCTTCATCCCCATTTACATTGGACTGAAGGACCAGATGAAGTCCATAGTTCACGTCTCTTTTTCTCTCGCCAGTAACTTTGGGCTCATGGCATTTTATTTTTTCCCCAAGTGCTATCTGATGGTGAGAAAACCTGACCTTAATACAGAAGAGCATTTCTGCACCATTCTGGAGGGAGTGCCCCCAACTCCTCCTCAGGACGAGCCACAGCCCAAAACTGAGACTGAATCTGTGCAGTAACTTTTTTAATGTGGAAAATGTTAAACATGCAATAATAATATATTTTGGGCCTCAAGGCCAAACATATTATGTGAAAAGATCCCAGGGCATTGTATTTCCGAGGCCCTAAAAGTGGGCTCCTTTAACTGTAATAGATTACTGTAGCATCCTGAAATGATAATATTGTATTGTATCTGGTTTGTTGTTCTCCTTTTTACAAGCTATCTTGGTGCATCTTTGTGTAAAACACTCGGCTACGTATCCAAACAAATAATAATGCAAAATATGTATATATAAATTTACTGACCTTAATTTAAGGAGGAAAGTCCCATTAAGATTCAGAATTTTCTTTACAAATGGATGCCTGCCTATTTTTTTTTTTTTTTTAAGGGGAGGGACTAGGCTCCTTTGAGAACAAACACAGGGCAGCAGTCACGGGACATAGTAACAGTTGCTAACAACAGAGCTTTTCAGTATAGGACTCATACACTGGGCTTTAGCAGGTAAGACTTTAGTTGATTAATTACTAAATTACTAAAATTACCAAATTGCTAAAATACTATTAATGTAAGTGTTGTTATTACATAGCAAATTATTTGCATAACATTCAGCACCAGTACTGCAAATGAAACAAGTTATTCTAGGATGGCAAATAAAGAAAGAACTGAATGTTTCTTTCATCAGTTCTTAATTCAAATGCTACATAAAGTTATTTGAAAATTAAATGGTCCTTATTGCCAAGTTTTATGCCAATTTGTAGCTTTTTTCCTATTTGAATTTAAGCTCTAAATTTAGTTTGTGGTAGAACTGTATCCAAAACTGATCTAAGAAGTATCTGCTGTGTATGTGCCACTTGGGTTTGTCGACCTTTATTAAGCTAAGACCATTTTAAGGTTTAATTGTCTGTCCCCTAGTGGTAGAGTTAGGCATTACAGTAGCTGTTCAAGATTGAGACATAGGAATCCTTTGGAACATGTTTTCAATGATTTTGCAGATAAAAAAAATTATTTAGATCACAAGACCAGTGTCAATCATGCCACGAGGAAAATCTGCCATCAGTACTCGGACAGACGACAGTGAGATGGATGTGGATGCCTCAGGTAAAAAAACAAACAACTGTTGGTACTAAATAAGATGCACTACATAACTTTTCTGGTAGGTGGGACTCTGCCACCACATAAATATAGCAATAAATTAAGCTTTTTATCTTGCATGTATTCAGTTAAAGGCATTTTATTGGTTCTTTTTACTGTTAACGGGGTTGCCTCAGATCTGAAAAGAAATAGTAGTAGTAATACCATACTGTGTACCATTCCAGATAAAACAATTACATCATCATGGAAACAAGTGGTGAACCCCCCACGGGAAAAGTTACAAGTGTCTTTAAATAGCAAATTCTACTTCTACTACTACACCTAAAAATCATTATAATAGTAAGAACATTCATTTGTCTAGAAAAGCATATCATTACTGTCATTACATGTTAGAAATTGCAAAGCTGCAGAGACAGTTCAGAATCATGGATGGAGACCGCCAGGCCTACAGTATTCAAGCTCGGAAGCAAATCCGCAAACAAGAGTAAGTATACCACACTAACAAAAATAACTTCTATACTGAAATTGCTTTGCTAAACTAAATATAAATGTCCATATAACTGAATGGTCCATATTAGAAACAAGAAAGGGGGATATTTCAGAACTTGTATTGTGGAATTTACCTTCTTTTAGGAATTATATAGGCTAGTGCCCCCCAAAAAATTAAAGACCTACTGCTACTTAAAGATAGACAATTTAAATTAACAAATGAATATTTATATTGGCTCTTGTCTTTACATGTACTTTTCAGTGTATTCATTTAACTACATTTCTCTGACTTTTGAGTCATTTAAAAGGCTTTTGTGCATAGACAGGAGATCGAGAAGCTGTTGAAGGAGCAGGAGGAGATGCAGTGTAAGCTGGGAGTGTGTAAGAGTCTGAGCAGACAGCAGCAGGACCAGCAAGAGGCACAAGGACTCAGGACTTTACTGGACCAGATTCAACTCATGGAAGATGACTTTGAAAAAGAGAGAGACAGCCAGAAGAAACTGGAGCAAGAGGTCTGTACTCCTAAATGGCAACTGAAAATATGTTAATATGTCAAGTTTGTAATGTGACTGCATCAATGCAGCTCAATAATGGGCTTTGTCACAAATAAAAATACAATACAGGGACATATCTTACAAAAATGTTGTTGGATTCAGAAATTTACAGTACAATGACATCACACTATCAGATGGGGTCCAGTAATCCAGTATAATTTGTGAGGCATGCAAAAGAAATACAAAATCCACAAATGTTAAACGTGATGATGATATTAGAGGCATATGAGTTATTACTTGTATAATGCTATAATAATTCAACCACTCTCAAATACTTCATTGTCAGTTGTTGTTTTGGCTGAATGTGTCTCAAATATTACAAGCCTATATAATGTTGTAATGTGTAATGAGGACAAGAGGAGAAACTAAACACAAGGGACTTGCTCTGTTATACTCTTGAGATTATCAAGAGTGAAGGTTCATTGTGATACTGCTCAGTATTCGCTCTAAATAACATTCTAAACATAAATAACAACAATAAATAATAAAACATTAAAAGTGCAGATAGTAGTCATCTAAATTAAACCTATGTTTTACTATGACTAACATTTGTATTTTGTACAGATTTCTGGTATAGAGCTGAAGCTGGAGGAGTTGAGGAAAGGAGAGGTTAGCAGAGGAGACAAACTCAAGACTGAAGTCCGGCAAACTCAAAAAGCCATCCGCACTTTAGAGAACAAACTGGACAGAGTGAGTCTTTACAACCAGAGAGCACTTTTACATGTATGATATTATCAATTTACTACTAATATTTATGTTTCTAGGCTTTGGCTCGATTTAGTGAACAGCTGACAAAGAACAGGGATCTGAGAGAGGAGCTGCAGCTTCTGCACACTGAAAGAGTCCGCTTCCAACAACTGTATAAAAGGCTGGATAAGGTTTGGAGAATAAACTACATTGAGATACTATTTTAACTTGCACTCAGATTATCAGGTACTTGCACTATTCTTGCTCAAACAATATGCTGGTGAAAGGTACGTATAACTAACCGCAATGGTAATAATAATCATATGAATATTGGTAAGTAAAAACATGATTCAGTCAAATACCACAGTTTTACTAATTACAATAATATGTTTTGTCTTTCTTGACTATTAGAAATCTTCAAGTGGCTACATTGTTTTTGTTTGTGGTCAAGTTTCATCAGTTTAATTTATTATATTTTGAACTTTTAAGGAGCTTCAAGAAGTTCGCAAAAAGATTGGTGAAGTCATCAAACAATCCACAGCTGCTTATGATGCAAGGTAACTGCCTTGAATAAAAATTACATTAATACCAATTTATATGATTGTAAATGTAAATGTAAATTCAAAAAAAAAAACTTCAGAGTGGAGGCTCAGACCAAAATGAGCTTGATGAAAGAGAAGACAGTTAAAGATCTGGCTCAGTACAACACAGAGATGAAGGAGCTGGAAAGGCTGATTTCACACGACCACAATCACAAATCATTTATGACCACCAAGTGCAATGACCGTCCTGGTGATGGAGACCAAAAACAGGGTAAGATGTGGGGTTGAACAATTCAACTATATCGACACAGCACAATTAGCAAATAAAAAAATGTAAGTATTTAGGTAATAAATATGCCATCTGATAGTTAGACATCAAGAAGCATATGGTCAACAAGAAGGTACACTATATAACTTTTCTGATGGAGGCCCTGCCATCAGCTTGTCTCCATGGAGATTTTATTTCATATCTAGAGAGCAATTAAAGCACCCATAATTGATTAAATGCATTATTGTTAAGTTTAATACAAAAGTAATAAGTACAATAAATAAATACAAAATACAATAATATCTCTATAGTAGCGGACACTACACCAGAAAAGATACACCTTTAATTACCATAATGCATTGTTAATCTAGTCCAATTACCCCCCCTAAACTGGGCAACATTTGTTTATTGAGGAATATATATATATATATGATTCCAGTGTCAGACATGAAAGAAGTGCGGAGGATGGACTCTTTGGGGGAAGAGTCACTGGAAACTCTGGAGGAAGTGTTTGAAAGAATTCAGAAGGTCACAGGAGAAGACAACCTGGAAGTAATGGTGGCCAAGTTCCTTCAAGGTAGTTATGTTATAAGAGGATAATGCTTATTAGATAAATTATAGTGTTAACTACTTTGTATATTGTTCACTTTTGTTTGCATTTTGAGGGCTATATTATTATGCGCTATATTATGCATAAAGTATGTTTTGCTCAGTTTTATGCAATGACTGCTACCAGAATGCCTAAAGTTGTATATTTTGAGATGAAAACAAAAGATTATTTAAGTTTAGGATCTGAAGTGTTGGTATTTGTCAATTTCTCTATAAAGTTGAGGACAGGAACTTCGCACTCTTTAATTTTGTTAATGAGCAAAACAAGGAGGCTGAAGCTTTGAGGGAGCAAATCAACCAGGTAAGACTTGTTCAAATAAAAAATAATAATAATTAAGGCTTCAAATTTCATGTATTATTTGTGCGGTTTTAGATTAAAGAGGAGATGGAGCAGTTCAGAGTGGAGGGCGTGTTGCAAGAACAGAATCAAGGTATGTTGGTTCAAGAAATTGACAACCAACAAAAGGACATTTTATCGCAAGCTGAAGAATATGAAAACCAAGCAGACAGCATAAGCAAAACATTGGATCTTGTTAAAACAGGTTTGTCGAGTTTCTGCAACCAACTTATTTGAATAAATATGAAAATGTAACCACACGTTTTTCATACAGCACCATGCATTTTTTGTTGTATCTTGTTACAGGGATCAACAATATATTCACTAAACTGGAGTGTGACCAGTCTGTGATAGAAGACATTTTGGGTTCATCAACTGGAATCAATGACAATAACATTATGTCCTATTTGAGTCTGATTGAGCAGAAAACCAATGAGATGCTCACTGTACGGGCCTATCTTCAGTCCAAGGTAAAGACAGGGCAAGAGATAAACATAAAAAGGTTATTGGTCACCATTATCATATTATAATAGTATACAGGATAGTTGAAAGCATGTTCCTTGAATGAATAATGTTGCTAGCTGTGGTGCATTACATTGCTGCACTTTTGGCTAAATTGTAGTATTTTTGGGTTATTTACATTATCAAGATGTGAACTGAGTGGTTCTCCATACAATATAAGCATTTATTATGATCATGCAAAATAGTGTTTGAGAGCTAATTTCCGTCTACTACTCAAACAATAGCAAGCACTGATTTGGACAATGTAATTCACTCCAATGATCAGACTTAATGTTTGTTTCTCTGTTTTTTATTGATGTCATTGTCCATTTAAGGGCAGGTGAAATACATAAGGCAAATGTAACAAGGGTTAGGTTTTTCAACTAGCATTAACCCAAAAATTATTTTTAAACTTATTACAGTTTTTCCATCTTATCATTAACTCATTACAGTCAAGTCAAACTTCTAGTATTTTATATTTTAGCAAACATTCTTCATCAAAATAGTTGTTTTAACCACAACTTTTTGTATGTATATCTTCAAGACTTTTGAGGCTGAGGTTTTTGGGTGGACTGTGAGTTATAGGATTTGTATCTGGCGCCAGGTCGTTGAGCGTGCCAATCTTTTACCCATCGTTGGCCGTTACCTCGAGCAGCATCATTTTGACGAGAAGCTCCTCCGAACCATTCTCCAGCAGGTTGATTGCTTGTTGTAATGGAGGTTTTGGTCATGGAGTTGCTGAAAACATGGTTGTTTTCTTTGGCACGTCCTGAAGGGAGTTTTTTAACAAACTCTTTCTGGGCTTCTGTATAGCTCTTATTACTGTCACCACCCACTGCGCTGACCCTGGTCTTTGGCACAGGTCTGGGACACAGGAGAAAGTGATGCTCTTTGCTTTTGCTGCATTCGGGTCGGTTGCAGAAAAATTCTTCTTTGCAATTGTCATGTTCGCTGTGAACCTCGAGGCACTTAATACAGGCCCCCAGTTTTCTTACAGCATCTTTTTTCTCAGATATTTTGAGTACTTGAAATCGTTTGCAGAAATACAATCTTTTGCTGTGCTTGCTATCACCGCAGATGACACAACCTGGAGAAAGACTGGTTGACCCTATGGTTCCATTCTGTATTGAATCATGCCCTGGTTTAAGAGTCTGTTCGTTGACAGAGGTCTTGCTGCCAAAGTGATCATTAAGGACTCTAAAGATGTCATTGGCACTGGTACAGGCTGACAAGCGGAGATCTCTTACAGTTCTGTCATCTATGCTGCTGAGTAGCTGGTGCTTTTTAAGTTCTCTTGCTCTTTGTTCCTGCTGTTCTTCCCAGTCCTTTTTCCAGAGGTAGAAATCACATTTCATGCCAGGAAACTTGGGCAGGTGTGTTACGTTCAGTTTTATGGCTGGTGTTGCAATGTAGTCAATAGTGGAGCTCAGTCTGTCTTTGACTCTGGCTTGAATAAACTGCACTTTTCTAGCGGTTAGCTTAAGAAGTGCTCGTTCCAGGTCACTCACACGAGACTGGAGGTCCTTCTGCTCTGGGGGAGGGGCCCAGCACTTCCATTGTGTGTGGAGAGTTTTGGCTCTTCCGACCAGAGTCCCCAGGTGTTTTACCATGAAATCATAACCTTCTTCATCTTCATTGGGTTCAATTGCTCCAATTCGCTGTGCCTCTGACTCTGCTGTTTCTACTACCATTTTTAGCTCCTCTTCTCCGTATTTAGCCCAGAGAGTTGTCAGAATTATATCCTTCAGTTCATCTAATCTATTTTCACACTCAGTTTTCGTCTTCTCCAAATCTGCCCTGTGCTCCTCTGTAAGGGTGTCTCCCTCTAGCTGTGATTCTGCAGCATACTGGTCTTCTACATCATCATTGGCTTCAAAAACTTTATTGGCTTCTATTGTTAGTGTTTTAAAACTGTCTTTGAGTTCCTCTTCGGACATCACGGTGTACATTCTTTGCACATTGTTGGCCAAACGAAAGAACTGGCGCTTGGCTGTATTTCTGTTGCCTTTTAGTTGGACAAGCACCAGGGAGTCAGCCATTTTGATTGCAGCTGTCTATCTTCTGTTACTGAGAATACTTAAACCAGTTTTTTCAGCTCCAGTTCTTCACTGATGAGCCACTGATAGGCCAGCAAAAAACCTCAAAAAACAGACAGAAAACAAAAGGTAAATGTTAAAATGCATGAGCATGTAAACAAAAGAATTCACATTTTAAAACAAAGCCCATTAGAAATTTTTTTTTACTGCAGATATTAGTCGTTTTACTACATAACTTTTAGAATAGTCAAATAAGGCATTAGACAATATCATTTCATTTTAACTCATAGGCTACATTTAGCAAGGATTAGAAACTAAACATGTAAAAAGTACCAACCAGAGAATAATTAATAAATAATTTCATCTCATAAGCTTGCATGTAATCTTAACGGAATAGTAGGCCTATTTTTATACACAATTAGATAACATGCAAACCATAGCTTTAACCACACAACTGAGCATTAACAATTTACAAAAAGACGATCTTTGGACAGCTTCCTTCAACTTACCGGGTGTTCATTACGCTTTGTAGACGTTTGCTGCGTTTGCTTAAAGATTCCTCTTCGAGGTTGAGGCCGTTGAGGCCGCTCAGGCACTAAAAAGCATCGCTTTTAGATTGAGTGGCAGCAGCAGCTTGCGCTGCGCTTGTTTACCCAGCCCTTAATGCAATGAAGTCCGTTGTTTTAACGGGTCCGGATAGGAAACAAAACTAGAAGATTAGTTCCACCTCGATGCGCTGGTCACTATATTAAAGGGTTAAAATGGGTGATCAGGGGGTAGTCGGACAATTCAGAAACAGTAATCAAGTTTTTATTCCTATATTTTAAAACTCTCCTTGAAATTAATAGGCTGTACCAGAAATGTAATTACTTAAAACATTAAAAGTTTTTTGTTCATGTTATTTAAATTCAGGACCTCGAGAAAGATTACAATCCCAAAGACTTGGCTAAATTTCTTCTTGGCCAAAATCCAGTGATGCTGGAGGAGGACGATGCTGCTCAGACCACTATCAACAGGTTTTTAATAAGGCCACATTTCTTTCTCTACCAAATATTAAAAACTATGGCGACCTAATTACCTTGTATGCACCACAGTGTCAACTACGCAGAAGAGCTTAATATTGCTGAAGATGAGGAAAGGCCCCTGTCCAAAGGAGAACTACGGAGAAGAATCATAAATGAGGTAGGCCTATATAGCTCGTCTGGCTTTATATAAAGACTGGGTCAGTGCACATCAGTATTAAATCAACTTTATAACTTTTGGTGTCAGGTATAGCCTATTTCCCAAATTCTGCAAATTGAATGAACAAACAAGCATAAAAAAAAGTCCTTATAGTATTATTGTATGTAAGAGCCTATACAACACCAACAGTAATTAGGTCCAAATAAAGCAGCTGGTGATAAGTGTGACATGTTCACTAGTCACATAATGAATAAACCATTCTAATACACACAACATTCATCTTATAGGTTATGCAAAAAGACACTTCACCTGGACAAATGGCAAGAAAAAGCTCCAAGACCAGTTTACAGAGCAGCAGCAGACAACGTTCTCTGGAGGACCCCCTACTGTGATCCTAGTCTGTCATTACACTCTCGCCAACCAAACCACCAACATGAAAATGCAAGACCCAAGTCCTTCAAGACTGCAAATGTTTAGAAGAAAATGATTGTGTCTTAGAACTTGAATATTTACATCATGTAACATTTATGTTGTTGTATGGACCAAGGAAAAGGTAGTTTGTTAGTTTGTTAGTTTTAGGGAAGTCATGTATAATTAATAACAATAGCAGCAACTGTTACATTATGTCATTCCCCCTGCAACAAAATAATTCAATTTTAATCCCAAAAGCTTGCCATGGGATATCATCTAAAGGTCCATTATATAACTTATTAGAAACTTGCCAGATTTCATGTCATTTTGATTTTATGTCTTTATATTGATATATTCCATGATATAATGCATAATAATAATAATGCATGTTTCCTTGTGGATAAATGAAAAAACTTTGATTCTGAAAAACTTTTTTTTTTAGGTTACTTTTTTTTGCCCAGTGCTTTTAACAAGCCTTCTGCACCATACTGTAGCCTCAGTTAAATTCTTACAAGTTGGAAACACTGTAAAATCCATGTCACCTTTTTTACAATCTTCCATTCACAAATTTCCCTTTATATCTTGGCGTGGTTTACTTGTAGTTGTTGGTAATTATGTTTGGGACCATAAAGATTCTTGAGTGTGTCTGGTAGGCAGCTGTCCTTTTGAAGTGCGACTCACCATCTGGCTTTGACTATAGACGGTCTGCTCCTTGTGCAAGCCTCTGTCGCTGGCTCTGCTTCAGTCTGTGTTAAGTGCAATTCTCAAAGGGAAAGGTGGGGGGCAGCACATGCTTTTGTAATTCGAAATTTGCATGCTGGGACTCAAGAGGAGCTTCTGGCAACAATTATTGGATCCAAGCCTAGTGAATATGTTTTCTAAAATAAGTGAATTAAAATTACTGCTTTCAATATGGTTACTTTGACTCTTTGAAGATATTGCATTTAAAGCCTGCCAAAACTGAAATTGGCCTGGACTGTAGGGCTGGGCGATACGACAAAAAAAAGAATCGCAATGTTTTTGTTTTTGTTTTGTTTTTTTTTTCCTTGTATTGCTCAATCAGAATATTATATATGATTTTATTTTGTCTATAAACATTACTTTCAATATTATTTTCAGGAAAAAACAGCAAAAATAAATTAAAAAAAAACCAACAACTGTGATTTAGTAATTGCAATCTAGTATAAAAAGATATTCCCACAGCAGTGTCCAGAAATCGTGAATTAGCAGTTGACTGTTAAATCATTGAAATTTCAGATGTTGATGAAGTACAAAAGCTAATCTTGTGAGTTAGGTAGCCATTTTGTACATTTAAAAGACGATTCTCCTCAGACAATGTCAGATATGAGAAAGTTATGTTAACAATTTGACCTGAACCCGTGCAGCATAGAGCCATTTAACAAGGCATCTATTTACATTGAGTTTGTAATGAATGCATATGGAAGCACTGCACACAATGGACAATGGACAATGCCCAACTAAATGAGTTGCGTGTGTTGCAGTGGAGTAGGGGAAGATGGAAACAAGTGGTCTTTCTAGATGCCTCATGTAGTTTGAACTTTGGGTAACTCTGAATTCATGTTATCTAATGTCTAGTATCACTTTGCTTTTGTACTGTGGCACTATAGCGCTATTGTCGGAAAATTAATAGTGGTAGTTAGTGGATATTATTTAGATATTTTAATAGTAGCAAATGGGTACTATAAATGTAATAGAAGTGGAAGTATTTATCTCACACATACTAAATAACCTATAACTTTCCTGGTACCACCTCCTTGTCTCTATGTAAATGTTTTTGTTTTGCCTAGAATGTTCCACAGTAAGACATTAAAATGTCTATTTAACATTTCTTCATGGCTGATTTGTTATTGCTACATAAAAGAAAAAAAGACATAAACCATTCACAGATCTCATCTTTTGGTTTGGAGGTGTCAGCCATTTACCACCCATTTTTTCCACTGGAGAAGTTTATGTTTGGTGCCATTCTGTGGAGCATTCTTTCTCGTCAAAGCAATAACACCTTTGTGGAGACAAACATTAAAAGAAAAAGTTGTATAGTTCACCTTTAAATATTTGTAACATTTAGTGACCTTTGTTACAGGTACTTGGTTGTATTTTATTCTGAAATAACAGTACCTTACACACTCCTAAAGAAATGTTCAAATTAAGATGCATTATTTACAGTCAAGTATCGTCATTTTGGCCATTCACATCTAAAACAATGGACATGTTTTGTTGAAAAAATCATAACCCACCTTCTTGAACTTTGAAAAAACTTTGTTTTGTCGACTCAGACATGAAATGGTCCAAAAGTCATCTAGTCCAAACATCCTGGAGTTACTCTGTATTTCCTCTGTACAAAAGAGAAAGTCAGGATGGAGAACTTATTTTAGGAAATATATTTTTATATTCTATCCTCAGCTGTCTAGGACAATTAACAAAAGCATGTTTCTATATTTGGATTTCAAAGGGCAAACTGATGCCACGTTTCATGTGTAAGAGCATTGTAACTACAGTGAACTAGAATAATAAGCATAATAGATGGTACAGTACTCCTTCTGAAAGCACAAGCAGTCTGGTTTAGGTATTGGCATTATTGTCCATGTTTTATACCATATCCCTGCATTTCTCGTCACAGCTTGGACATAGATTTAACAATGGCTATGCAACCATGAGTCTGAAAAAAGTCTAAAAAAAAAACTACCAACATTCAGATGTGGCATTAGCTTTGAAAATCTTGAGAATACGTTTTAAACAACAAAGCCAGGCTAAGTGCACTTGCATTTTCACAAGATATCTCACTGGATTTTTTTTTTTACTACTTTACTACTATAGACTGATTACAGTGAAAATACTATTCTTGAGGCTACTGCTGCTGCAACAATTTGTTACTACCAAAATTGTTTTACAACTTTATAACTACAAAAGTAAAAGCATAAAAAATTATGAATAAATTAAGTAAATGCACAATAAAATGTACATTATATCAGAGCTTTAATTTGGAATAACAAGTGCAGGTTGAGACATGATTTCTAAAACATTCCATGTGAGAAATTAAATCTGTTTACTATTAGATGGTGGGTGGGATTTATTTGGCTTTTCCAGGGAATAAAGGAAATTTGAGGTCATGCACTTTAACCATTAGGCCAAATGTGCTTCAGGCTAAACAGCGAATAGACAAACAAGTTCAACCAGTGATTTGAAAGATGATTCTATGTCAGTCTAGAAACATCATACTGTGTCTCTGTTTTTCCTGTTTGTTCACATGTGCCAGGCTGATTATTGTCAAATCTTTACCCAACTAAAAAGGGTATCTGGAAATGGACTATAGTAACCCCCATGCTCCTGATAGGTTATCCCAGGGCAGGAGCACTGTAGGATGGGTCAGTTTTATGTAGCAGGGAATACCTTGGCTTGGCTTCATGATCTGCATGTGCACCATATATTTTTACAGCTGAACCACAAATCTAGGTTATCCACCCATACCATATATGACATCACAGCTGCCATGGCTACCTTTCTAATATGACTACATCTGTTATTCCCATGAGACTACTGGGCTTCCATTAACATTTTTTTTATTAAGAGTACTACAACTATTACTACTGCTATTATTATGTATTGAGGAAACTATAAAATTCTTTCTGACAGAAAAACTTAATATTTAAGAGTTCTCTGCATCATGTAATCCTACTGACCATCTTTCATTTAGCCATCCATATCTTTCAGAGTGAGGAAAATGACCACAGGAATTAAATAAATCAAACAAAATCCATCTTCTATCTTTTGAATGGTCCTTTTGAAAGTCCTCAAAATGGCAACAAACAGGAGACTGAATTGAAGCAAATGCAAATATGTTACACTAAAATTGATGACCAATCAGCCAGACACTGTGTTGCTTTTGAGTTTATCCTTCTTTCATTCTTAACTGTGAGGCTATGAACACAGATTATGGAGATAAAGGGAGTATGTGGTTCTGGAGGGAGTGGAGGGAGAGATGAGATGGAGGTTGGGTTTTCTTTGAAATTCAACTCTCTCTCCCTCTCTCCTCTCCTCCTATCACCCCTCCTCCTCCCAGCAAATTCACCCTTTGCACACGGCCCGCTGCATCCCCATAGAAACCTGCTTTAATCACAACACAAACCTCATTTCCTGCTCCTTACAAAGAGCCCTCCTCACTGCCTGCAGAGAGAGAGGGAGGGGGAGACAGAGGGAACACATGAGAGAAAGAAAGAGAGGGGGGAGTGAGAGACAGATGAAGAGAGAGAGACAAAGAGAGAGAGACGAAGAGGATATAAGGGTAAAGAGAGAGCGCATGAGGGAGAGATAGGAAGAGAAGTGAGACAGAGAGAGAGATGTGGGAGTTAGAGGGAATACATGAGATAGAGAATGAGAGAGGTGTTGCATGAGAGAGGGGAAGAGAAGAAACACATGAGAGAGAGAAAGAGGGGAGGGGAGTGAGAGATGGATGAAGAGAGAAAGAGTGAATGGGAGTGGATACAAGGATAAAGAGAGTGGGAGCAAAGATAAAGAATAAAAAGATGAGCGTGAGTGTGAGAGGGACATAGGAAGAGAAGGGAGAGAGGGAACACATGAGAGAGAAAGAAAGAAGTGAGTGAGAGAACACAGGGATAAAGAGACAGAGTAAAGAGAGAGGAAAGGAGAGACTGAGGGGGAGAGAGAGGGAATGCATGAGAGAGGAAAGAGAGAGAAAGGAGAGTATGGAAGGACACGAGGTTAACAAGACAGGGAGAGGGCGAAGAGGGAGAGAGAAAATGACAAAGGGAGAGGCGGTTTGACTAAGAGAAAAAGAGACAGAGAGAGAGAGGGATAGAAGGATAATGGAGAGTAAGAAAAAAAGAAAGTAATTAAAAGAAAGAGCGAAAAAGAGAGAGGGTAAGAGAGTGAGACTGCACCAGTTATTTGCTATGGGCCCACCTCCTGCTCGGACCTCCAGCCCACCATGTCCTCTTCACCTTCTGTTCACACAAAGATCATTTTACACATTTTACTGACTCCAGGGTTTTCACATACACTCAACCCCACATATAGTGTTTACGTTTACCTGCATACATGTGTGAAAATGGTATAAACATGAACCCTAGAGAAAATAATAAAGGCCAAAATTTAGTCATGTACTGTAGTAGCAATTACAAAAAAGTAGTCATGAGAGGAGTAGTGCTTAAAATTCCCAAAAAATATCCTGCTGTAATAAACACTTCAATCTCTTCAGTTTCTCAGTTTTTATCTTTCATTTCTGCCTTTATAAGTTTGCCCTTTTTGCATAATTTTACTTGTGTTGGGA